GGTTGGTGACGATGAATTTGTCACTCATACAAGGCTACTACTCGCCGGAGAAAGAAGAACAAGAACCTAGTACAAGTCCGACGACGAAGAAAATGGTCAAGTTCCACAGAATCATTACAAACCCTATTTTAACTCTAACCTTTCTTCATTTTTCGAGCTCTTCCGTCTGTCCTTGACGCTTTATTCGAAATTTACTTTTCTTTTTATCGTTGAAGCAACAAAATAATAATCTTAATGGATAGGACAATAAGAAAGTTATATCTTTTTTCATGTTACTATGTGAAGTGCAGTTTGACGCATTAATGCTTGAAAATGTTGGAAATTTCAGGGCCGCCGGAGTTTTTGAACAATATTGAAGAGTTGGAAGGGATGTCCATGGACAGGATATGGTGGTGGGATAGCGGGGAAGGGATTGGGTGGTGGTCGGTCGGTCCGTCGGAATTAGAGATTATTTTCAATTTTTTTAATAGTAAATAATTTTCTTTTTCCTTAACATTATAATATATTTTAAAATAATTTTTTGATATAAATTACACATGTTATTATTTAATTTGTCAAATTGTCACGTCATCGCGAGTGTATTTCACTTATTTTATAGTTTTAGCTGATTGTCTAAAAAATGTTCAAATGGTTCAAATTTGAAAGGGTAGAGGTGTTCAATAGGTACAAGCTTGAGTTCAGGTGTCTAAGTGAATTATGCAGACAATTTTAAGTGTGTGTCGATGACTTAGCCTAAATAAAAGCTAAAAATGTTACAACTCTAATGATATATAGATGAATATTCAATGTTATTATTATAGATAGAGTTAAAAATATAAACCCAATTTTATGTTTATAAATTATAAAATAACGTAGCTATAAAATTTGATGACTTTTATTATCAAATCTTTCAAACATATTTTTGAAATTTCCTTTTCCTTTTCATTTTTTTCCTTCTTTACCATGGTGCGCTATTTTTTAGTAGAACAATTGTGTGCAAGTCAAAGGCTAATTTTATTTTATTTTAAAGAAAAAGCGGCCGGGCAGGGCTGGGCAGGGCTAAATAGAGCGGGGGTAGGGGCAGGTTGAAAAACAACAAATATTAAACAGCGCAGCTAGGTCGGATTGAATTTGGACAGGCCAAGACTTTCACCTGCCCTATTGCTATCCCTATGAATAAATGCCCTGAATACTCATGACCCTTGTTCATAGATTTTCCAAGTAATATTTGGGGAAATTTTTTAGCAAATAGTATTTGTCCATAAAATTTATTATTATTTGACAAATATTTTTGACAAATATCTCAAATTCTCAAAAGCTAGTTTTTTCTAGTATTTGGTAGGGGTGTACATGGTTTGGTTAGTTCGAATTTTTCAAATATCAAATCAATCCATTTGTGTCGAATTTTTTAATTTATAAACCAAATCAGACCAATAAAACTCAAATTTTTCAACCTTGGATTTTTTCGGGTTTTACGAATTTTCAGGTTTTTTCGAGTTTTTCCGGTAAAGTATTCATACAAGCATATAATTTACTTGTACTTCAAATATTTCTTTAGTCCTACCAAAATATAACTATCTAAGGTGTTTTGTTAAACTGGGTTTTATGCCTAACTCACACCCCAAAAACTAGCTCAAAGGAAGAAGGATTACCCAACCCTTATAAGGAGTCCACCTATCTCATTAATCACTGATATGAGACGTTTATCCCACTTTAACACCCCACCTCACGCTCAGTGCTTAGCATCTGGTGCGTGGGCAATTTTGATTTTGGGGGCCCCAACATCGAGTGAGATGGGCCAGGCTCTGATACCATGTTAAACAAGGTCTTATGTCTAACTCACACCCCAAAAGCTAGCTCAAATGGAGGAGGATTACCCAAGCCTTATAAGGAGTCCACTCATCTCATTAACCACCGATGTGAGACTTTTGTCATTCTTTAACATGTTTCTTAAGAAAATAACACAAAATATGATATGATTAATGACACTAATCCAACAAAACAAAATGAAATCGCGTAAAATAAATATTGTAAATTAACAAGTCATAATGAAAATGATTATAATTTAAAAGTACTAAATCATGCTAAAATAAGTTTAATAAGTATTAGTTACATGACTAAATATTAAAGGAGATTAAAATTAGATTATGTATTTTAATTTTCTAAACCAATGTAAAACTAAAGAACAAATATTCAATATTATTGTCATTCTTAGTGTTGAATTGATTTTCTTTTTGCATTAGTATTAATTTGATTTTGATTTCATTATAATTACCAACATCTCTGGACTATAATCTTTATTCAATAATTCAAAATTCTAAGTTTCAAACTTGAAATAATATATTAAAAGATAAAAACTATGAAAAAGTATAAGAAATATTTAAAAATTATATCAAAGTAAATATTTTTATGTATAAAATAAAATTTTAAAATTATATATATAATGTCGGGTTGGTTTGGTCTCGGGTTGAGTGTTTTTACTTAAAATCAAACCAACCCAAATATAGTCGGATTTTTTTTTTCAATACCATACCAAATCAAACCAAACCACTAGTCGGGTTTCTTTTTCAGTTTGCGGTTTAGTTTGGTTTTCGGTTCGATTTTGTACACCCCTAGTATTTGGGTCAAATCTCATTATTTGGGATCTTTTAAAAATTAAACTTTTACACCAAACTTTTATCTTTTACAAAATCACCCTCTATAGCAGTTGTTTGTATTGTATTACATAATTTTTTACGTGAACACCAAAGTAGTGATGAAATATTCAGTGAATATGAAAGTAATGATTTGGTTGTTGATGAAAATGATGAACAATTGACTCAGGGTAATTAAGTCATGTGCTTTGTCTACTTCACGATGTATGAAATGATGCTTGTTGTACTCACTCCAAACTAGCACATTGCTCCAGTGTCATAGACATTACTTGTTATTTGTTGTAACGAAGATCCAATTAACATGTAATACAAACTTATAGTTAGTTTTGATAGTTTTTAAAACTTATGGGTATAAATCATATTTTTCTAAAACAGTGAAATATGCTTCCTAAATATTATGGCCAAACACATGGTGAAATTTCACCTAAATTTTCCCCCAAAAAATATTTGCCAAGAATATTTGGAAATCTATGATCAAACGCTAGCTTAGTGGTTCTCAAATGGTGTGACGAGCAACTAGGAGAAGGAAAAATCATTTGTTGAGGTTCATTGTCCATTTAAGTGAATAGACTTATGGTTGCATGAAACTCGACTTGATATTGGATAAAAACACACAAATGATGCAGTCCTGTGCGTAATTGAAATTACACACGTAAAGATGCATCACACAAGTTTTAGATTTAAGTCATCATAGTGTTTGGATTTAAACAATGCAAATGAATGATAGACCTATCTTCTTTGTTTATTATGCACGAACGAAAGTCGTGATAAATTTCAAGAGGAAAAGCAGAGCTACATTGAAGAAGCTTGATATCAACTAGGCAATGATGCAGCAGATAAGTATTAAGTTCAAAATGTTTGATGGACTCTATTTGTAGTGTACGAAAACGGCATGTACTTTGTGTGCAAGAAACTAAAGGCCTGTGCTGTCAAATCTTATTCATACAAGTAAATAATATCTCCACTTTCAGTTTCCGCCAAATTACAATTTCACTAGTCAATCATGACACTTGAACACACATCTAAGAGAAGTCTGCTACATTCTACCATCTCGACAAGGTCCATGCATGTCGTTGTTTCAACCAAGAATCTTAAACATAGGAAACGGTTAAAAGTCAGTTTTGACACACATTTTCTATGATCCTTGCGAAATGGAGAAGCAACTCGTTATAATTGATCTAAAGCACCATTTGCAATCTTTTATGAGCAAAAACTGACTTACCTTAAATTTCCTAGCTTTGTGCAACCAGAGTCTCCAACGCGGCACCAATGTCCACTACGTTCTAGTGTGTCCCCTCAAAATATAATAATGTTGAAGACTGTGAACATAATTTGGTGAAGCATCTACTATCAACGGAATCCAAAATGAAATCTGTCATGCATCTAAGAATTCTGTGTATACCAATCATGACAACCCAATGTTATGCCAATATTCAAATACTTCACTTTCTTCAAAGAGAAAGAACAATTTCCTTTACCAGAATCTTACCACTTTATGACTTTTATCATACCATATAATAAAGTGTATAATACGATTTGAGGATTAAGAGAAACACTATATTGTTGAACGATAATACCTGTTAAATATTTCAGTATTTTAATGAGAAAAAGGAGCTGAAAAGTAAAATTGATGAAATTGTTCTTGGGCATACCTCATACTTTCCCGCATAGCTTTTAAGTCTTTAAGGTGCAGTTAGTAGTGAACATACATTTTGTCTTTGTATCACAATAACCTTCTAGCTTCATCTTATGAATAGCTCATCAACAGATCAATTTGATGGCTTGATCCACGGATACCCATTACTACCTTGACCAAAGTACCTGAGCAGATATTTTATCAAAACATACCTGTACATAAAAGAATAGTTTCACTTGGGCAAATGAGCGACTGTGAACTCAATTATTATTACTTAATAGTTGTTGCTATCCCCGTTATGAAGAGTAAAATGTTGAGAGATTATGTAGTCTTTACCAAATACTGAAGATTTTATTCTTCAACAAAACAACGGAGTGCAAAGTGGTTCATCTGTCGTACATAACCAACATGTTAAACAGTAAAATTATGTCATGAGAAAAAAAGGAGTGCAAAGAAAAACTTGTTACAACATTCTAAATGAAAGTTTACCTAATGTAATTGGCGCCCATGGATTTTGACTTGAAATGCCTCAGCAACCTTCTAGCATGACCTAGAAACTAATAACCAATGAGAAAAAACACACATAAATATTCATGATTAAACCATATCTTAAAAGTAAGATAGATATTCATAAATTTGTCTGGAAAACTATAAAATGGGAATGGAGGAGAGTAACTCTTGGAAAATAATAATTAGAAGTGTGACTCAGAAACTGAAAGAGAAACAGAGACTTACGCCAAGTCTTGAATTCTGCTTCCACCTACTTTAATTATTGGATTATGGGAAATGTTGGACCATTGGGAGTTTGGGCCACTCCGATTTGTGCAACTTTCTTCTAACTTTGGGCAGCCTTTAATTTCCAGGTTCCATAATTTGGTGAGGCGTCGCATGGCATCTCTGGATGGCATATGCTTTAGATTCTCGCAATTCTGTAAAAATAACTCTTGCAAAGAAACAAGGTCACCAAGCCCATCCGACAGAGCTTCTAACAATGGCCAATCATGGATCATCAGATATCCTAATTTGGTGAGGCGTCGCATGGCATCCCTAGATGGAAGATGCTCTAGTTTCTCGCATTTACGTAAAACTAACTTTTGCAAAGAAACAAGGTTGCTGAGTCCATCCGATAGATCTTCTAACAATGGACAATCATTTATGCACAAATATCGTAATTTGGGCATGGCATCTGAGAAGTCCATATGTTGTAGCCGTTTGCACCCCACTAGTGTTAATTTTTCAAGAGAAGTAAGGTTGGCAAATCTATGAGGAAGAGCCTCGATTCCGAATCCATACACTTTTATAACTGTTAGATTAGAGAGTTGCGTAAGCTGATACGGCAGTGAATCCCAGTGCAAGTGTCCCCACACCTCCAATGTACGAAGGGACGACAGCTGCTGAATGCCATTAAATATCAATTGGAATGCCTCAAAATCCATCATTTCTGAGAAAGGACCTATTTCCAAATGCTGTAACCCAGTGAGACGAAGGCCACCTGCGGGTACACTAATCAATTTGGGACATTTTGATATATTCAAATATGAAAGTGAATGCATTTCCCCCACATGTAAAGGGATGGAAACCAAGTTGTTACATTTGTAGACACTCAAGGATTCCAGAGACCGACAATGCTCTAGCATCCCACTTGGTAAACTGGTCAATCCATCACAAGAGATTAACTGAAGACTTTGGAGGGAAGTCAAATAATTATCTCCAGTGGGAACAGGAAAGGAACTGAAATTGGGGCAGCTTGTAATCCATAATCTCTTAAGAGAATGGAGATTGTACAAGCTCTTTGGCAATTCATGAAACTCTCCACATTTGTCAACCGATAGGTGTTGAAGAGAAACGTTGCTGCGTAGCATCTCATCTGGAAAACAAGTGAGCTCTTTCACATCATACACACTAAGCATTACAAGAGATGTCAAGTTGCTGCACAAGTTCAACAATGGCATTTCACTGTCAACTTCGACAATCTCTAATTCACGTAGGATTTCAAATTGATTTGGAGTACTTTTTAACACTGGACAGTTACTAATCCTCAACTTCTCAAGCCCAGGAAACATTCTTACCCCACTTGTTGTTGGCATCAATTCCACTCCCTTCCACTCAGTAAGGCAATGCATATTCTCCAATAGAAGTACTTTCAGTGACGGGAAAACTTGGATTTTGCTGCATGATCCATTATTATTAACCTCAACACCATAAAATGTAGGTCCAATGAATTCCAATTCAGGGAGTCCTATCAGCTTAAGATGCCGAAGGAACTTCAGTTGGCCAAGAGATGGAATTTCTTTGCACCTTTTGCAACCACTTAATGTCAACTTGACCAAATTTGGTAGCGACTCTTCACTGAACCATGAAGGAAATCTAGTGCCCAAATAGTCCTCCACCAGTAAGGTTTTCAAGTTAGGATGCGGTTGAAGACCATCCAACACATGCTCATCAATAGTTTCACAGCCTTCTGGTTCATCACGTAACCACCCATATGACAGCTTGTAAATATTCGATTTCTCTTGTAAATATGCTGTTCGAGCTTCTTCTCTACTACGGACCAAATGGAGATCATCGATCCTCAATTTACCTCTAAGGTTCTTCAAACAACCTAATTCTTCTATTCGACGACCTTTCTCCAAACCCACATTAAAATATTTTAGGGTCTGAAGACAAGTCAATTGTCCCATGTTAAGCGGCATCTGATACCAAGAAAGGCAATATATGTGTCTCAAACTTATCATATTCCCCATCTCATATGGAAGTTCATGGAGTAAATAGCAATCATTGACTCTAAATGTTTGCAAATTATAGAGCTCGCAAATGGAGTTGGGCAAGGCTCTGATCTCAGTGTTCGAGAGATCAAGATATCTCAAGTGTATACACTTCCCAATTTTGGCTGACAACTCTTTGATTCCTGAACTGGACAAATTTAAAACTCTCAAGAACTTGAAGCTCAACAACATATCTTCCGATATATAAATGCTTCTCCAAAACAGAGTGCACAAACGTCCTGGCTCAGTTATCTTATCTATTTGATCACTTGGTGAGTCCCATCCAAAGTATCGCACTTGAGAAAGATTTTCTCCACCATTGTCCTTTGGATCAAATAGTTTAGATTTTAAGATATCCCCAGCCAAATCATGCACAAGATCGTGCATCTTACAGTGTGTTATATTGTTGTGCTTATCGAACTTAACATCTTGCAGCAAGGAATTTCGCAACAAGAGTTGAAAGAACTTATTCCCGATGTCTTCCATTACGCTGGTCTCTTGACATGGATGAAGAAAGCCTTCGGCCATCCAGAGTTGGATTATTTGGTCCTTTTCAAACTCAAAATCTTTTGGAAACATTGCAAAGTAAGCAAAGCATTTTTTCAGATGTGGAGATGGTAGATAATCATAGCTGAGTTTTAGTATTTTCCTTATGCTATTTTCTCCGTTATCATCTTCACCTGCAACAAGGGGGTTTCCATCAAGAATTGCCTGCCATTCATGTTTTTCCTTGTTGCGTAAGAGGCCTCCCAACACACTTGCAGCCAACGGTAGACCTTGACACATTTCCACAATCCTGTTCTCCATGCACACTATTTCCTCTGGAATTTCCCCATCAACAAACGCTCTTTGTTTGAAAATGGACCAACAATGAGCTTCTGCTAATTTTTCCAACCTATGAGGAGCTACTGCTGCTACTGTGGATGCCACCTGTTCCATACGAGTAGTCACAAGAATAAAGTTTCCTCGGGATGTATTTATTCCTCGCAAGGTGTCGACAAACTCTACCCACAATGTAGAGTCAACACGCCATAAATCATCCAGAACAAGTAAGTACTTTCTTCCTGCCAGTTCATCTTGTAGCGTCTTGACTATTATGTCTCTGCTTTGGACCTCAACTTTCCTCTTTGTCAGGGATTCGAGGATTAGTTGAAGAAAGCTCTTCGTTTCTGACATTTCAGGCAGACACAACCAAACTCTCTTTTCAAAGTGTTTCTCGATCTGTTCATCGTTGAAAATTCTCTTAGCCATAGTTGTTTTCCCTAAACCCCCCATACCAGCTATGGGAATGATGCACAGAACAACATCCTCTCTGATGTTCAACATCTTCCTCTTTATTTCTGCAACATCGTTGTCTCTACCAACAACCTCCGAAGCAACTACTACAGAATCTGTTTCTCGAATTGGTAGTATATGCCGAGGAGGAACCATGAGTGATTGGAGACCGAGGTGTTTGGCTAACTTATTGATAGCCCTCAACTCTTCATTGATGTTGTTGATTTTTCGTGACATTTTGCTCTTAAAAGTTGTATGAGAAATGAAATCACTGACCTTTTTCATTGGGTTCTTTTGGATCTTCACTTGTCTTTTGATAGATTCATATCTGAATTCGTCAAACACATTTTCAGCATTTTCAGCAGCTCTCTCAAGAATCTTGAGCCATAGTTTCACAGCCTGATCGTCAACTTGTCGTCTTTCAGCATCATGAATGAAAGCTTGGATCAAGGATGCATTTTGTGTAAGCATTTCCAGATCTTTCTTGCAGTCCCTTGAGCTACTGAGTTCCTCAATAGTAAGAAAAAGCAGTTTTTCAAGCAAAACTTGAACAGTAGCACCAATTACAGGATCGGCCATTGTTGTGCTTTGCTCAAAACTTGAATTGTAGAACCAAACTTCTTGCACAAAGTCTTCTAAAAGTTTTTGCACAAGTCTTGTTTTGCTAGTTGTTTGTGGACCACTAAAAGGAAGACAATAATTCATTGTACACAATAAAAGAGAAATGACGAAAAGACCCTCCTACTTTATATTGATTTGTAAACCCAGTCCTCTTACTTTATCAGGCATCACCTAGGCACTCCACTTATAGTGGTTCAAACACACTACTTTAAAAGTTTAAGCCACTCCGACTCCTCTTGTTCAAATAGAAGGAAAAGGTTAGATTTGAGATTTCTTCCGCTATTGCCCAGTCATGCACGTGCTTGTCTTTCCCAACACTTTCTTCTTCCATCATGGCTCCTACATTTCCTCTACTCACAGTTCTATCCCAGAAACTGATCTGGAGTCGGCATATTTACAGCTGTATTCTAAGTAGTCTGGTTGACAAATCAAAATAAGTACAAGGATCTCCAATCCATTTTTTCTTTTATAAATAAGCAATTCGTGTTTGGACTGTGTAAACCATGTGTAGATTTCCCTAATAACGAAACAGAAATAGAGTGTAAAAATGTCTCCAAATTTACTACCTAAAGATGTTAGTTACTTAACCAAAAAAGAGATGATCAAGCAAATCTTTAAGATGGTTCTAATAAGAGGGTTGAAATTATTATCAACTTCTGAACATCTTTACCTATGATTGTGGTTTTAACTATAAAAGGAAGTTCCAATGATCAGAAGATAACGAAAAACTACAGCCACATTAGTGGCATTATCTTTCTGTCAGCACATTCTTTTCTTTCTTTGCAGTAAATTGAGTTCACTCTTGATCACTTACCACTTTAGACTCTCTAAAGAGTTCCATTTTCTCTCAGGCACATCAATAGTGTGGAATGCACACCAACAGGTCAAAACCAAGAGTCCATAGAAGTGAATCAACAACAGTAGCTTGAAGCAGATTTATCGGATATTACTCCTTTCGACCTATGCCTTTGCTGCTGCAATTTAAGGCCTTAAACTTGGAATGAACCATGTTTTTGTTTTCCACTAGTATTATTCTATGCAATGTGGATCCCTCGTGTCTGTGTAACTTTTTCTTTTTGGTTGATACTTTATATCAGCTTTATTTTGGGCTAATTTGGCCATAGAATAATTGAAGCAGTTAAGTCATATTTAGAGTGCAGAAAGCTTAATTTTGTGTTGAAATACACACAAATTATAGCAATTGTCTGTCTAAATCATAATAACACTAGTAAATTACTACTCATTAGCAAGAACTTAAAACACTCTTGTCTAATCTCTACTACATCTTCATGAGTTAGAAATTTTGGTTTTTTTCCAAAATCACAATACTAAACAGGACACCCTAATCCATAATTATTTATCTACTAATTAAAAATACTATAATAGTTTTTTTTCTTTTTCAAACTGCATCTCTCCTTGTTTCATCTTTGTCATCTTCATCAATTATATCTCCCAATTGTTCATGCTCTCCCAACTCCATCACTCTCATAATCTCCGTCATTCTCATCTTTTTTCCCTTCATCTAATTCTTCATCTGGGGTTTTCTGAAACTCAGCAGCTAACTCATCTAACAGTAAGGGATTCAGATCTTTTCTCCGTATCTTCACAACTTTTTGCAAATCTTGTTCCTTCACTGTTTTTTCACCCAAACTTTCCACTTTAGTCTTGCTGTAAGACTGTTTTACTTCGTAAATCAACCATAAACATATCAAAAACATGCTTTAATTTGATCCCTTTTTGTCCTGATATTCCTACTTGATGATTGCCTCAACATGTTTAGTATACTTTTTCACAATATTGCTATTCCTAAAATACAATCTGTGTGAAAAATCAGATCCTAAAAATTAAAAAATCTTATACATCACACTATTTTATACCAGTAGAGTAAAGAAGATGAGAGTGTAGTTTTAGAGATGAGGTGTGAGAAGAAAAGGGAGTGTGAGGCTCCCTCTTTATGTGTTAACTTAGGTACATGTGGTGTATTTGTGTTGGTTATTTTAAAGTTATTTAGATGTGTCGGTAGAAGGAATTTAATGATGGTCCAACATTGGAGTAGCCTTTTATAAAACCAATGAATAAGATGGATTGAAATGGTGCGATTCCTATAGATAAATTTCAAGAGGAAAAGTAGAGCTACATTAAAGAAGATATCAACTAGGCAAGGATGCAGCAGATAAGTATTAAGTTCAAAATGTTTGATAGAAACAAAAACTCTATTTGTACGAAAAAGGCATGTACTCTGTGTGCGAGAAATTAAAGGCCTCTGCTATCAAATCTTAGTCATACAAGTAAATAATATCTCCACTCCAGGTTCCGCCAAATGCAATTTCACTTGCCAATCAAGACACTTGAACACATCTAGGAGAAGTCTGCTCCACTCTACCATCTCAAGTCTCAACAAGGTCTATGCATGTCGTTGTTTCAACCAATAATCTTAAGCATAAGAAATGGTAAAAAGTCAGTTTTGGCACACATTTCGTCTGATCCTTGCGAAATGGAGAAGCAACTCGTTACAATTGATCTAAAGCACCATTTGTAATCTCTTATGAACAAAAACTGACTTACCTTGAATTTTCTAGCTTTGTGCAAGCAGAGTCTCCAACGCAGCACCAATGTCCACAACGTTCCAATCTGTCCCCTGAAAATTAAAATAATGTTGAAGACTGAACATAATTTGGAGAAGCGTCTACTATCAATGGAATTCAAAATGAAATCTGTCTTGCATCTAAGAATCCTGTGTATACCAATCATGACAAGCCAATGTTATGCCAATCAAATTCTTCACTTTCCTCAAAGAGAAAGAACAATTTCCTTTACCAGAATCATACCATATAATGAAGTGTATAATAATATTTGAGGATTTAGAGAAGGACTATATTGCTGAAAGATAATACCTGTTAAACGTTTCAGTATTTTAACGAGAAAAAGGAGCTGAAAAGTAAAATTGATGAAATTGTTCTTGGGCATACCTTATACTTCCGCTTAGCTTTTAAGTCTTGGCTGTCATAGAAGTAAGGTGTAGTTAGTAATGGACATATATTGTGTCTCTGTATCACAATAACCTTCTAGCTTCATCTTATGAATAGCTTCAACTTAATGTTGAGAGATTATATAGTCTTTACCAAATGCTCATGAAACTGTCTACGGGGCAGAAGATTCTATTCTTCAACAAAACAAATGTGGTGGTTCCTTTGTCGTACATAACCAATCCTGTTAAACAGTAAAATTGTGTCATGAGAAAAAAAGGAGTGCAAAGAAAAAATTGTTACAGCATTCTAACTGCAAGTTTACCTAATGTAATTGCCGCAGATGGATTTTGACTTGAAATGCCACAGCAACGTTCTAGCATGACCTTTAAACTAATAACCAATGAGAAAAAGCACACATAAATATTCATGATTAAACCATATCTTAAAGGTAATATTAGATATTCATAAATTTGTTTCAAGTGGAACAAAAAAATGTTTGGAAAACTATAAAGGAGAGTGGAGGAGAGTAACTCGTGGAAAATAATAATTAAAAACGCGACTCAGAAACTAAAAGAGAAACAGAAACTTATGCAAGTCCTGAATTATGCTTCCACCTACTTCAATTTTGGGAATATGGGAAATGTTGGACCATTGGGAGTTTGAGCCACTCCAATTTGTGCAACTTTCTTCTAACTTTGGGCAGCCTTTAATTTCCAAGTTCCGTAATTTGGTGAGGCGTCGCATGGCATCTCTAGATGGCAGATGCTCTAGTTTCTTGCATTTCTGTAGAAATAACTCTTCCAAAGAAACAAGGTTACCGAGCCCATCCGATATAGCTTCTAACAATGGACAATCATTTAAGCACAGATAACGTAATTTGGGCATGGCATCTGAGAAGTCCAGATGTTGTAGCCGTTTGCACCCCATTAGCATTAATCTTTCAAGAGAAGTAAGGTTGCCAAATCTATGAGGAAGAGCCTTGATTCCGAATCCATATATTTTGATCTCTATAAGGTCAGAGAGTTGCAGTGCAAGTGTCCCCACACCTCCGATGTATGAAGAGACTGAATGTCATCAAATATCAATTGGAATGCCTCAAAATCCACCATTTCTGAGAAAGGACCTATTTCCAAATTCTGTAACCCAGTGAGACGAAGGCCACCTGTGGGTACACTAATCAATTTGGGACATTTTGATATATTCAAATATGAAAGTGAAGGTTTTTCCCCGACATGTAAAGGGAAGGAAACTAAGTTGTTACAGTTGAAGACCTTCAAAGATTCCAAAGACCGACAATGCTCTAGCATCCCACTTGGTAAACTGGTCAATCCATCACAAGAGATTAACTGAAGACTTTGGAGGGAAGTCAAATAATTCTCTCCAGTGGGAACTGGAAAGGAACTGAAATTGGTGCAGAGGTTAATCCTTAAGCTCTTAAGAAAATGGAGATTATACAAGCTCTGTGGCAATTCATGAAACTCTCTGCAGTCTGCGACCGATAGGTGTTGAAGAGAAGCGTTGTTACGTAGAATCTCATCTGGAAAACAAGTGAGCTCTTTCACATCATACACACTAAGAATTACAAGAGATGTCAAGTTGCTGCACAAGTTCAACAATGGCATTTCACTGTCAACTTCGACAATCTCTAATTCACGTAGGATTTCAAATTGATTCGGAGTACTTTTTAACAATGGACAGTTAAAAATCCTCAACTTCTCAAGCCCAGGAAACATTCTTACCCCACTTGTTGTTGGTATCAATTCCACTCCCTTCCACTCAATAAGGCTACGCATATTCTCCAATAGAAGTTCTTTCAATGACGGGAACACTTGGAATTTGCTGCACGATCCATTATCATTAACCTCAACACCATAAAATGTAGGTCCAATGAATTCCAATTCAGGGAGTCCTATCAGCTTAAGATGCCGAAGGAACTTCAGTTGGCCAAGCGATGGAATTTCTTTGCACCTTTTGCAACCACTTAATGTCAACTTGACCAAATTTGGTAGCGACTCTTCATTGAACCATGAAGGAAATCTAGTGACCAAATAGTCCTCCACCAGTAAGGTTTTCAAGTTAGGATGCGGTTGAAGACCATCCAACACATGCTCATCAATGGTTTCACAGCCTTCTGGTTCATCACGGAACCACACATATGACAGCTTGTAAATATTCGATTTCTCTTGTAAATATGCTGTTCGAGCTTCTTCTCTACTACGGACCAATTGGAGATGATTGATCCTCAATTCACCTCTAAGGTTCTTCAAACGACCTAATTCTTCTATTCGACGACCTTTCTCTAAACCCACATTGAAATATTGTAGGGTCTGAAGACAAGTCAATTGTCCCATGTTAAGTGGCATCTGACTCTGAGACCGAGAATGGCAATATATGTGTCTCAAACTTATCATATTTCCCATCTCATATGGAAGTGGATAGCAACGATCAACTCTAAATGTTTTCAAATTATAGAGCTCGCAAATGGAGTTGGGCAAGGCTATGATCTTAGTGTTCGAGAGATCAAGATATCTCAAGTGTATTAGCTTCCCGATTTTGGCTGACAACTCCTTGATTCCTAAACTGGACAAATTTAAAACTCTCAAGAACTTAAAGCTCAACAACATATCTTCCGATATATTGATTCTCCAAAACAGTGTGCACAAACGTCCTGGCTCATTTTTATTAACTATTTGATCACTTGGTGAGTCCCATCCAAAGTATCGCACTTGAGAAAGATCTTCTGGACCATCGCCCTTCGGATCATATAGTTTAGATTTTAAGATATCTCCAGCCAAATCATGCACAAGATCGTGCATCTTATAGTGTGTTATATTGTTGTGCTCATCTAAATTAACATCTTGCAGCAAGGAATTTCGCAACAGGAGTTGAAAGAACTTGTTTCCAATGTCTTCCATTACGGTGGTCTCTTGACATGGATGAAGAAAGCCTTCTGCCATCCAGAGTTGGATTAGTTGGCCCTTGTCAAACTCAAAATCTTTTGGAAACATTGCAAAGTAAGCAAAGCATTTTTTCAGATATGGAGATGGTAGATAATCATAGCTGAGTTTAAGGATTTTCTTAACGCTATTTTCTTCGTTATCATCTTCACCTGTAACAAGGGGGTTTCCATCAAGAATTGCTTGCCATCCATGTTTGTCCTTGTTGCGTAAGAGGCCTCCCAACACACTTGCAGCCAACGGTAGACCTTGACACATTTCCACAATCATGTTCTTCATGCACACTATCTCTGGAATTTCCCCATCAACAAATGCTCTTTGTTTGAAAATGGACCAACAATGATCTTCTGCTAATTTTTCCAACATATGAGGACCTACTGTTTCTACTGTGGACGCCACCTGTTCCATACGAGTAGTCACGAGAATGAAGTTTCCTCGGGATGTACTTATTCCTCGCAAGGTGTCAACAAACTCTACCCACAATGTAGAGTCAACACGCCACAAATCATCCAGGACAAGCAAATACTTTCTTCCTGCCAGTTCTTCTTGTAGCGTCTTGACTATTATGTCTCTGCTTTGGACCTCAGTTTTCCTCTTTGTTAAGGATTCGAGGATTAGTTGAAGAAAGCTCTTCATTTCTGACATTTCAGGTAGACACAACCAAACTCTCTTTTCAAAGTATTTCTCGATCTGTTCATCGTTGAAAATACTCTTAGCCATAGTTGTTTTCCCTAAACCCCCCATACCCACTATGGGAATGGTGCACAGAACAACATCATCTCTGATGTTCAACATCTTCCTCTTTATTTCTGCAACATCATTCTCTCTACCAACAACATCCAAAGCAACTACTACGGAATCTATTTCACGAATTGGTAGTATTTGCCGAGGAGGAACCATGAGTGATTGGAGACCGAGGTATTTGGATAACTTATTGATATCCCTCAACTCTTCATTGATGTTGTTAATTTTTCGAGACATTTTGCTCTTAATAGTTGTATGAGAAATGAAATCACTGACCTTTTTCATTGGGTTCTTTTGGATCTTCACTTGTCTTTTGATAGATTCATACCTGAATTCGTCGAACACATTTTCAGCATTTTCAGCAGCTTTCTCAAGCCTCTTGAGCCATAGTTTCACAGCCTGATCGTCAACTTGTCGTCTTTCAGCATCATGAATGAAAGCTTGGATCAAGGATACATTTTGTGTAAGCATTTCCAGATCTTTCTTGCAGTCGCTTGAGCTACTGAGTTCCTCAATAGTGAGAGAAAGCAGCTTCTGAAGCAAAACTTGAACAGTGGCACCAATTACAGGGTCGGACATTGTTGTGAAAGTTCTTGCACAAAGTCTTCTTCTCAAAAAAGTCTTCTTTTGCTTTGCAGACCACTAAAAGAAAAACAATAATGCATAAACAATAATTTGAATAAAGGATCACTTTTGGTAGGCCATTGTTGCAGATGTCTTGTTTTGCTAGTTGTTTGAGGAGCCGCCACTAAAAGAAAAGGAATAATTCAAACAGTGAATCCAATGGCATAAATATCTCTCCAAGACAAACATGGAATCCAATGGCTTTTGTATAACTTTCAAACTAATAAGTAATCACATGTTTTGACTTTGAATACAAGTGATATTTTTTAAGGCAGCAAAGTCACTCAACGTATGAAAATAACCGACCATAGTCATTTCAAACTTTTTTGGGACAATAAAGTCACTAACTATTATTCCAAAGACCAGATTTTTTGCCTTTTGTTTTCATCATTATCTTGTGGGTATAAGAATTTGCAAGATTAATGAGTTCTTGGGTACATGACTTGGACATTACTGCTTAACAATTTGTCTAAAAACCTATCAACTTTTCCTTCGACTTCATGTGGGGATTTACATACGACCACTCACTCCATTTCAATTCGTTTGTCGTATAATGATTTGACACAGAGTGTAAGAAAGTAAAAAAGACTTTTGGATCATATGGTCCTACATTAAAGGTATGTATCTCTAATCAATTTTACTTATTTTTTGTCATTCATCTTTTGTGTAGGTTATACTGTTTGCCATTTTCTAAAATACAGAATTGTTGATTATACTGTTTTCTGTCAATCTAGTGATACTTTCTGCAAGTACACAGATGTCTTTTACAACCCTGAAATCCCTGAGGGCCGGTTAGCGCATGATTTGAAGCTCGGTTGATTATACGCTCACCCTTCTCTACTAAAAGGCATTGTACTGGGTTCTAACTCGTGACATATGTGTAAATCACACATCACGCAGCTCCTACATCTGAACCAAAGGCCTGCAAGTATCTGAAAGTTTTCTATTTTCATAGTAATTAACTAGGCATATAAGTGCTCAGGAAATTAAAAGACCCGAAGAAGATTCGAGAGTGCTGAACTCAGATATTGCTTGTTGCTGCATAGAATGAGCTTTTAGTTAAAGTTGATTTTTATTTGCATCTAGGAGAAAATATCAAATGAAGAGTACAACATTTGAGGATTAAGTGATACACATTTTTTGTAAGAAACGATACTTTTGAATAATTTGGGATATGCTAAAACGGATTAACTTTACAAGAGGTAAGTGAGCAATAAAAACAATGCAGACCAAAGAGTTTAGCAGATTAACAATTTAGAAGAAGCTTACATGGAAAGCTTGGTCCGATAAGCAGAGTAGAGAAACGTTCAACCTAATGAACGGATGCCCCTCAAACTGGTCCTTTGCAACGGATACTGCTCTGATTGCATCCCTGTTAGTAGTACAACATTCTCATGAGAAGTTGTTCTTGAGCACACAATTTGCCTTTTGTGCCGCAGAAACCTCCTACCTGAATCCATGGAAACAATCTAAATGTAGCATCATCAGTGAGAATTATTTGATACCTTTCATTGGCTTCACCATAACACCTGAATAGATATGACAAATACTGAAATTCTTCTTGTTTCGTACAGGTTGGGAACGGAGAGGGTCAGACATTAACCATCATCATCATATACGTATATGTTAAGTGGCATCTGAGACCAAGAATAGAAATATATGTGCCTCAAATTTATACAATTCTATCTTTGAATTTAGAACCAAAATAGTTCTTTGTCTTTTAACATAAAGCACTAACAGTCCTCCGTGTTTCAAGAATTGGTACACTTTTAATACTTTCTCAAACAACTATCTAATTTTTAACGGACTTACAAGCTATCCACAGTGAGAAAATTTTCCCTTCAAATCTCAGTCTTTGTTTCCCCGGTCCCTCCACTTCCATATCTAACCAGGATTCTTGTTTGTCTCTTATTCAAATCAAACTCAATAATCAAAATTCTATTTAGAATTTCACTTAAAACTTAATCGATTATCGAAATCAATTATTTTGTTAAGACCCAATAATGGCAGAGAATCAACTCTTACTTGTGGTGAGAATTTTTTTTTTGTTGCTTCATTATTATATTTATTTTTGAGAACTTATGTGTTTTTTACATATGGAACAAAAGCTTGGTTCATTGTTGGAAGATCAACAAAAAGAACTCGAAAATCGAATTCATAAACTATTTAAACCCATATTGAGAAAACGAAACCAAAATCAGTTTGTTATTTCGATTTAAACCAAACTGTGTCCACCTCTGAACTTGGTGCACTACTTACGTGAAGACAAGCCAATATTGTGTGGCCTGAGACTCTCTTTAGTTCGTCATAAGCTACATATATTATCTCTAACACTATTTTAGAGAGTAATTGTTTCATCATTTAATTATCTTAAACTAACATAAAGTATATGTATTATGCTTCCAGGTTAGATGAGGACATGTTAAAGTTGGACAAGAAAAAATGTAATAAGGAGAATTAGGAGAAAGAGGAATGAATCTTTATTGGAAAATCACAACCAACCCAACAAAGTGGACTTACATTTTAAAGATCAGTTTTTCTTTTGGTAAAAAAAATAAAATAGACACCTTGTTCTTTTCAAATTTAAACTATATTTTGCTATTGTGTTTTTCAGTTTGTTGTTTTTTCTTGTGTAGTTTTTGGTGCACATCTACTGCTGTTTTTGGTCCAATTTTAGTGTGTTTTTAGCACAAATCAGGTGCTGCAGTTTTTGTGCTTTTCTGGCGCCGTTCTGGTGCTTTCTACTGCTGTTTTTGTGGAGTTTCACTGCTTTAATGCTGTTCTGGTGCGTTGTGGAGATTCAAGGGACCTGGCTTTAAAAAAAAAATGATTTTCGAACTCAATGACCCTAACGATCTTTCCAAAGCTATAGCGAATTTTAATGAACTCATAACATGTGACTCCAACATTAACCCAAACAAAACATTTGAACTCCCAGTATAGCCAAATTGTTTGTTTGGTATTCCTTTATCCTTTTTCCAAATCTTGAGCCCTCCAAAAAACAAAAATTAACTGTTGACACAGGAAAAAATGAGATGCATATGATCTGCAAAATAATCCACCACTTGAAATATATGTCACTCATGCTGGACTGTCTCCGAATCTGACCATGGAAACATTAAATTTGAATACCAATATACTAAATTAGTCAAAAATAGATCTTGTATCGTAACAAACCAACTGAAGAACAATTTATACGAGACTGAAAAATCAAAACTTGAGGCCAAAACCAAATCTAGTTAAGACAGTGATCTCTTGAGTTTTATTAGTAACCAGACCAGATTAGACTACCTTGATCAATTTGTCCAGCTCAAAATTACTTAGCGAAATCCAGAATATCAACTAAATATATGAGCATCAAGTATATGCGTGCACCTTCAAGCAGTACCCACCAAATATAACTTTGTCGATCAAAGAATATTCAAATTCAATCCCATAGACGCAGAATAAACATGGTATATAGATGAAAAGTAGTTCATACGGTGCACAAATCTTAGAAAATAAATAGTTCTCAGACTGTTCACAAATAATGAATGCAAAATACACAAAAAATACAGACCAAATTGCACAGCTCTTTAAGCTATTATTAAGTAGAAAAAAATGAATTCCTACTTCTACAAACAGAACATAACACCAAAAGTGGCAGCTGTGGTGTCATGAATAACAATACGAAATAGATCTTTGACTTTAGGCTTTAGCTGTCTTGGTCTTCAGAAGCCTCACATACAGTGCGGTAAGAATGGAGTTAACTTCACTCAGCTCTAGACTGCCCAGCTCGGGAAGACAAGATAATGCCAACAATAAGCCCATAAAGAGCCAAGGCTTCAGCGAAAATGAGAATGAGGATCATTCCAACAAAAAGCTTGGGTTGTTGTGCATTAGCCCTAGAAAATGATTGTTGTTAGGTACACAAATAGGAATCATTTATAAAGCTACAATCAGCTTGACAACAGAAAGACAACTACGACATCCCAACCAAAGTGAATAGAATGGATCAATCCTTAGCTGAATATGTAATAACTAATCTGCAACAGTCATTATATTGAGTGTTTGGTTGTTACATGGCATGCATAGTTTTGGCAAAGTCATATAGACTAGACAATAAAAGGTTAAGAATTTAAACAGTCTTACTGGGTGATTTCCAGAAGTCATTGTTTGATTTTTTCTAATATGTAGTAGATGTTACATAAGTTGGGAACAATAACTAAGCATGAAGAGTTGACGAGTGGCTAAAAGATATGGAGGGAACGTATCATAGGGCAGAGTAATGAATGAAAGGCGTCCATTCTGTTAAACATACACCCACTATATTTCAACTATATTGACTGCAGAACATGCATCTTCATCTGGAACAGTTTGCTCTGGAAGTCAACACCTTAGACCACAAAAATTGCAAGATTCGAAGAAAACCACAGAGCCCTAACTAACCACTGGGTTTGAAATGCAAGAATATTGTTTTCTTTTTTTATTCACTTCACACTTTCTTTGGAGAAATGCTTATACAAGACTTCAGGTATCTCTTTAATTTTATGTTACATAATTTCTTTTTAAGGAGTACAACAACAAGCCCCATATAGTCCCAAAAGCGGGGTTTCTTTTTCAGGAATGTAACAAAATAATCAACCAACAGGTAATGTTAACAGCTATTCTCCGACTGATGCAGGATGAGACTAGCTTATCGTCTTTGTTGTTTAACTTAATCAGGAAATAAAATTTAGACAGACTGGAAAAGGTCAATGAATTTTGACAGCAGCTTGAAATTGCAAGAAAAAAGAAAAGAAATAACGGACACGCATTGTCGCTAAAATTTATTTTCTAAGAGGGAAAAGCAAGATAAAATAATCATAAATAACACTCCTACAAGTCCTGGCAATCATAGAAAATGAAGATGTTATTTTTTGACAACTTTGAGATTCTAAAAAGTAGAAGTTTACCTTTTAAGTAATATATATTCA